GAGCTTACAGACCATACTTTTGAGAATTGCTCTTATGAAACGCTGTATGTGAAATAAGCCATAATTGTCTGCTTCTATTTAGGACACTGAATATTCTAAGATAATTACATTCAGTCAATACTGACTGTATCCACTGACTCGGCGTGCATGTTGTTAGGGGAAAGTGATGAACAGGACTATTTCTCACTGGAAATTCACAATCCACTAGGGGAGACACTTGCAAGACAAGCAGAACCTAGGAGGATATTGTCCTATAGAAGTCTGGCCAGCGGGTGAGTGTCCAGTGTCAATGTCAGCATCCCATATGGCTGCCAGTTCATGCGCTTATGGCCTGAGAAAGCAGTGTAGAATGGCCCGCGTGCTTGGGTCCCTGAACCTGTATGAGAGATCCAGAAGAAACTCCTGGTTCCTGGCTTTAGCCTGGTCTGGTCCAAACAATCAAGGCCATTTGCGAACCAATAGACTCTCTCGCTCTCTTTCTCTCTCTCACTCCCCTTGCCACCTCCCCAATTCTTTGTAACTCTTTCTATCGAACAAATAAAATAACTATTTTTTTTTTTAAAGATTTATTTTTATTATTTTCTCATTGGAAAGGCGGATATACAGAGAGGAGAGACAGAGAGGAAGATCTTCCATCCGATGATTCACTCCCCAAGTGAGCGCAACGGGCCGATACTATGCCGATCCGAAGCCAGGAGCCTCTTCCGGGTCTCCCACGCAGGTGCAGGGTCCCAAAGCCTTGGGCCGTCCTCGACTGCTTTTCCCGGGCCACAGGCAGGGAGCTGGAAGGGAAGCGGGGCTGCCGGGATTAGAACCGGCGCCCATATGGGATCCCGGGCGTGCTAGGCGAGGACCTTAACCACTTGCGCCACCGCGCCGGGCCCAAAATAACTATTTTTTAAACAAATGGAGAAATAAAATCACTAAGCTACATATGCTTTTCTTTCACACACACGCACAAAAGGAATCTGTTCAGAAGGAAGAGGGGGGGAAGACTTGTGCCTCTGGATACTGGGGTGCCATAGTCCATGTTTTGTTGCCATAGTAACAAAGATGGCTCGCGTTATTTATCAGGAAGCATTTACTCGACTCCCAATCCTGGAGGCTGCAATGTCCAACCAACAGCGTGACACTAGCATGTGCTTGGTACCTGGTGAGGGGCTTCCTGCTGGGACACCGCATCACAGGACAAATGTCTTTGCTCAGATATCCCCTCCTATTAAACCACTAGTGCCTCAAGACCTTCTCTAATCTTGATCACCTCCCAAAGTTCCTACCTCCAAATATCACTAAAGATGAAGTCTCCTGTAGACAGGAAGTTCTGGTGGACACATTCAACCCTAGCATGAGGAGGATTTAAACAACCGTCAGGAAAGAAATGGGAGTGAAGGTGAAAGAGAAACCGGTACAAAACTGTAGAAAAGGTGTAACAAGCTCATGGAGTGACAAGTAGCCTAAGGCGATTTATTTATTTTTTTAAATGTATTTACTTTGTTTGAAAAGTCAGAGTTAGATGGAGAAGGAAATAGAGAAAGATCTTCATCCATTGGTTCATTCCCCAAGTGACCGCAAACAGCTGGAGCTGAGTTGATTCAAAGCCAGGAGCCAGGAGCTTCCTCTGGGTCTTTCATGTGGGTACAGGGTCCCAAGGCCCTCGACTGCTTTCCCAGGCCACAAGCAGGTTGCTGGATGGGAACTGGAGCCGTGGGATACAAATCGGCACTCATGGGATCCCAGTGTTGCAAGGCGAGGCACTTGGCTATCACGCTGGGCCCCCAATTTATTTTAAATCACATAGGCAAAAAGTATTATTTATTAACTTCTTTTAAAATATTTATTGATTTTTATTGGAAAGGACAATCAGATTAATGTAGAGAGATGGAGACAGAGAAAAAGATGTCCGTGTGCTGGTTCACTCCCCTAATGGCCTCTGTGGCCAGAGTTGAGCTGATCTAAAACCAGGAGCCATGAGCTTCCTCCAAGTCTTCCACGTAGAAGCAAGGGGCCCAAGGCTTTGGGTCATCCTCCCCTGCTTTCCCAGACCATAAGCAGGAATCCAGATCAGAAGTGGAGCAGCTGGGACTTGAACTGGTGCCCATGGGATGCTGGTACTGCAGGCAGATGATTGGCATGCTATGTCACTGTGTTGGACCCAGGAATATTTTTTATTCTTTATAACTAGTCATTTTTAACTCCATCTAAAGATGCATCAGTGTAGTGACTAAGGTTGGCCATGCCAAGAGGCCCAAACACCTGATTTAGGCAATTAGAGTTTTCAGCCCCAACCTTCCACCTCTGGAGATAGCATATGGACTTGAGATTAAGTCCTTCTCATAGTCAACCATGTGGTTTAGTCAGTCTCAGGAATGCAGTGAAATCTTGTTAAATACTCAAGCATAGGGCCATGTGTGATGGCCTAGCAGCTTAAGTCCTCGTCTTGAACACACTGGGATCCCGTATAGGCACCGGTTCTAATTCCAGCAGCTCCACTTCCCATCCAGCTCCTTGCCTGTGGCCTGGAAAAGCAGTCGAGGACGGCCCAAAGCTGTGGGACCCTGCACCCACGTGGGAGACCTGGAAGAAGTTCCTGGTTCCTGGCTTCAGATTGGCTCAGCTCCAGCTGTTGTGGCCATTTGGGGAATGAACCATTGGATGGAAGATCTTCCTCTGTCTCTCCTCCTCTCTGTATATCTACCTTTCCAATAAAAATAAATAAATCTTAAAAAAAAGCAAACATAAAATTAACTAACTAAAACACCTCAAGGATGCTGGGAGCAGTTCCTGCTAGGAACGCCAATGTGAGGGAGAACTAACAACCAGCTCCACTTTGTGGGACAGAGCTGCCAGCTCTCTCCTCTGCCGGACTTTGCCACACACATCTCTTTCTTGCTACTTTTTCAACATTGTATCTATCCTGCATTATAAAATGATACCGTTCAGTGTAGCGCTTTCTTGAGTTCAGTGAATCATTGTAGCCAGTTGTTGAATCTGGAGGAGAGCAGTGGCAAGCCCTGAATTTGTGGCCAAGCTGGATGGTAAGAAGTGTGAGTGACGCGCCCCCCCCCCCGTCCCAGATTGTGGCTGTCCTCTGAGATGGCTGCAGCTTTGTGGGTGCAAGCCTGCCTCTGGTAGTTTTGGCACTGACTCCAGGTGGTGAGAGTCAGAAGTGAGTGGAACTGTTGGACCCTTGGCTGGTGTTGGGGAACCACTGGCCTGTCCTGGGGAAGGTATCACTTGCTAAGTGGGACTTTATCTAACAAATTTGAGAACACTGTAGCAAGGGAGTCAATACAAAAGCTCTTGTGTGTGGATACTAAGTGGCAACTGTGCTACTTTGAGATACCTTTTCAAGTGACACAAAAAAGATCTTCTTGATCATCCAAACATGTACTAAGTATGCTTTTGAAAAGAGCCTTTTTAAAGATAACAAGGCCCAGTATCCAGAAGGATGTAGGGGTGGATCCGTCTGAAGGCTCTTCCTTAGCCACATGGCTATGTTTATTTTCTTCAAGAGAAAGTCTCCCTGGATCATAAAACAAATCACCTGTTGGCATCCCAGCAAACAGGAATGGTGGTGTGCATGTTGCACATTGTATTTCTTCCCAGATATTTTTTATTGCACTGGTTCTTTAGGGAGAGTTGATTATTTCCACACTTGCTTTGCACCCTTCTTCCTTTTTTTTTGGCTTCCTGCTTTTTTTTTTTTTTTTTAATTCTACATCCTCAGGGGCGAAAAGTATTTTTAGAATGCTATATACACAATGATAGGAATAGTCAACTTTAAGCAACAAGAAGCAGTCCAAGATGAAAAGAAAATGAGCAACACTTGAGAAGCTGGGAATTAATGGTGTTAATTACTTCCTGATCTATAGGGCAATGAGTAGGGAAAATAAGATCATATTATTAGACTTAGATAAGGATAAAACTTCAAAGCAAATTAAGTGACACACTAGACTAAAAGGGTTGTAAAATGAATATTAAAGCAAGATTTTGAACATAAACTGCAAAACAAAGAAAGAAAAAAGTCTATTGAGTACAGGGTCTTTCTTTGGAGGAATAATAAAATTATTGTGTGGTGACTTTGATTTTACTCACAATCCCTACATATGGCATTCATTAGCAAATTAATTTTTTTCTTTTTTTAAAGATTTGTTTTATTTTTATTGCAAAGTCAGATATACAGAGAGGAAGAGAGACAGAGAGGAAGATCTTCTGCCCAATGATTCACTCCCCAAGTGACCGCAACAGCTGGAGCTGAGCCAATCCAAAGCCAGGAACCAGGAGCTTCCTCCAGGTCTCCCACATGGGTGCAGGAACCCAAGCTTTGGGCCATCCTCGACTGCTTTCCCAGGCCACAGGCAGGGAGATGGATGGGATGTGGAGCTACCAGGATTAGAACCAGCACCCACATGGGTTCCCGGCACGTTCAAGGTGAGGACTTAAGCTGCTAGGCCACTGCACCGGGCCTGCAAATTAAATTTTTAATAAAAGACTTGCCTTGCTCCAGATGCATGCAATGGTTTTCATGCAATTTCACATACAAGTAGTTACTGAACTGCACTGATTTCATCCATCAAATCATGCTAAAATAAAGGGAGGGGCCAGTACAGCGGCATCGTAGATTAAGCTTTAGCCCTTGCTTGGCACCTGCATCCCATAGGGGTGTTAGTTGACGTACAAGTTGCTCCACTTCTGATCTAGTGTCCTGCATATGGCTGGGAAGGCAGCAGAGGCTGGTCTAAGTAAGAATAAAATAATGTTTTAAGTTTAATGGAATAACAACATTTTTTCTTATTTTAAAAGATTGTAGTTATTGTTTTATAATGGGTCTCTATAGGCTGCATGTAGTACTAGAGAAAGCATTTCATATTCCCTTCCTAACATTTTAAAATAGCTTGAGTCTCTCCGTTCGTAACAGCTTCAGGAAATTATGAGTATGAATTAAATTATTCAGACAACTTTTGATCTGCTAATTAAACAGCACTTTATTTTACCCAAAGTGGTTCCTAGAGAATACAACAACCAGCAGCTCATTTATTTTTAATTGTTAATCTCATTTCAGTGGTAACACGTCTATTTCAGTGATGACTTCATAGGAGAATATTTCAGGCAGCAAGAAGAAAAACAATCAACGCTGTGATTCCAGCAGATACAGATTTCATGAGACTTTTTCCACAACTGTAACTTTCAGATGTCCCATGTGTTGTGTCTATAGTAATAATAATAATAACACACTTTTTTTTTTTATTGTGTTTAGGGTCTGAGGGTATATGCAGAAAGGCCAGAAGAGCATGTCTGGCAGTCTGGGCGTGGTCTCCCAGCGCTGCTCCCATTCACCCCGCTCTGCGATGCCAGCCACTACAGCGCAGCTGGGCCCGTGAGTTTCTATTGTCTTTCCCAGGGAATGTCTTCAAGAATCTCTAATACACTTCCCAGTTTCCACCATTAATTCCCTCATCTTCAGCAGGCACTGACAACATTCACATTTTCTACTGTGCCCCTCCTCACGGAGCGCAGGACTGTGGTCTAACACAGTTCTCCTGACCTCCCAATTCCATCGGGGGAGGGAGACTTTCTAATTTCTCATTAATTCAACTGCAAGACAGATGCAGATGAGTTGATGCCCTTCTCAAGGACTCTCGGACCCCTGCAGGTGCAGGGACCAGCTACTCCCCTCTCTCTGCATCTCCATTGCTGTACCAGCTTTGGTGCTACAGGAGCTTGCACAGCCCAGAAGCACAAAAACGTAATGCCCTCTCCACCAAAGAGAGACAGAAATCTTCCAACCTTGGGTGGGACTAATCAGACCCACCATTCATTCAGTTTCTCAGCTGAGTCCCCAGCTGTCCACAGTGGAGTTGGCTTATCATTGCTGCCAGCCTTTGTGGGTGGAGTGGGAAGGATAAGGGAGTGAATCTCATTATTGCCTCTCCTGCTTCTCCCCGGTCTCCCCTTCCTCCTCAACAACCTTTGTGTTTCCTGACATCACCTCCCAGATGAGTGACCTGGGCACTCTTTTCTAGGTTGCATCACTGAGAAACCCCATTTCATACAGAGAAGACTTGAGTAAAGCCATTCCTGGTTCCTATAGCAATAAAACTCCTTGCTATATTTGCCAAGCAAATTTCATTAATCTAGGCAGTGTTTAGACTTTAGTTCTATAAGTAAATAGTACTTCCATACAGTTAAAGCACATTTATAGAATTTTGTGAGGTCTACTAAATGCAGAGAAAGTTGCATAAGGAGATAAATTTTATGGCTCTTCATTTGGGTATAGAAAAATAGTGCTATAGGCCTAGGTCATCTTGTATATAGGCAAGTGTTACACTTTTGGAATAAAAGCAGACAATACCTGCTGAACATTCTGGGCTTGGCTAATGCCAAATTTGTATTAACTATACCAGTAACTGCCCATTCTACTTTTTCAAAAGGTAAGTGAAGAGGGTGGGGAACCCCAAGCCAGGCACAGCATTTGGCCCCCAAGACAGGGGGAGGAGCTGCAGATTGCCCAGAGAAGGGGGGTCTGTGGATACATATTGGAGTGGAAGCACTGAGGGCTTGTTTAACAGGAGAGGAATGAGGGAGCTGAAATGAAGTGATTTAGAAGGGGAAATGGGAGAGCATATCTGGTACCTGGCTACATGGGAGACTTGGGCTGGAGTAAGTAGCAATGTCCCACTCACTGACATGCACAAAAGCTGAGGTAAGCCTGGCTGGGTTAGGCCACAGCACCTGCCCATGCATATCAGAGCTAGGATGGCCCACATCAGTCTGGGCTGTAGCACTCACCAGAACATGAGAGAACCAGATCTGGGGGTAGATTCTCTGGGTGTTCTGGTGAAACTGCAGCAACCACCAGTTCGTGCAGAGAGCTGGGGTTGGTGATATTGTCAGGTGAGTGGGACCAGGCCAGGCTACAACACCTGTTGATACATGCAAAGGCCAGGACTGAGGGCAGCCCATGCCAGCCAAGGCCACACCTGGGAGCAGGCCTGGTAGGGAAATTTTGGGATCTCTTCTACTAGGCCACAGCTTCTGCTGGAGAGAACAAAAGCTGGGACTGAGGATGGATCAAGCCAGGCAAGGTTGCAGCACTCCTCAACATGTATGTGGGCTGAGTCTGGGGGCAGGCTGGGTGGGCTAGGCCAAGCTATAGCACCCACTTGCATACATAAGAGCCAGGACAGGGTGTATGTAGGCTGCACCCGGTTGGTCTAAGTTGCCACACCTACCAGTGAGAGCTGAAACTGTGGGTAGACCATGCCAGGCTGAGTCAAAGCACCTGCCAGCACACGCAAGATCCAGGACTGGGAAGAATCTGGTAGGGAAACTTGAGGAACTCCCCTGCTAGGCTGCAGCTTCCACTGAGGAGTGCAAGAGCTACGGCTGAATGTGGAATGGGCTGGCAAGACTACAGCATCCACTGATGCACACAAGCGCCACAATGGGTGTGGGACAGGCCGGGTTAGGCCGTAGCACCTGCTGGGTCACATGAGAGCCAAGTCTGGGGATGGGTCAGTCTGAGCTGGGCTGGGCTATAGTACCTGCTGATGAAAGCTGAAGTGGGTATGGGCCAGTTGGGCTAGACCACAGTAACCACTGGTGAGTGCCTGAACTGGTGGGGGCTTGCCATGCCAGACTGGGCGGCAGCAGCATCCACAGGCATATGCAAGACCGGGGCTGAGGGTCAGCCTGGTAGGGGAACTCTGGGACTGCTGTGCTAGGCCACTGCTTCTACTGGTGAGCATGAGAGCTAGGACTGGGATGGGCTGGCCTGGGGCTGGCTAGGCTAGGCTAGGCTGCTGTGCCTGCTGACAAGTTTCGGGACTGAGTATGAGTCATGTCAGACTGGATCATTGTACCCCCTGGCAGACACAAGATCCGGGGCTGGAAGCTTGGCTGGCAGGGGAACTGTGAGCACTCCTCCGCTAGGATATACCTTCCAGTGGCGAGCATGAGAACCAGGGCTCGGGGCAGGCAAGGTTGGTCAAGGCAGCAGCACTTGTCAGCACACTTAGGGGACAGGTCAAGGGATAGGTCAGGCTGAGCTAAGCAGTAGCACCCATGGGTTTGCACAAGAATCAGATAGCATGCGGAATAGACCAGACTAGATAGCAACACATGCTGACACATGTAAAAACTAGGGCTGGTGGTAGGCCGTGGGGTTTATTGGGGGTTGACTAAGCCATGGAACCCACTGGTGTGTGTGAAGACTGGGCCTATGGTGGGCTGGGCTGAGCTAGGCCACAGCATCCATCAGTTTGCATGATAGGTGGGGCGGGGGCAGAACTGACCAGGTCACTGCATCCACTAGTATGTGCATTGGCTGGTACAGATTATGGATCCTGCACTGGCTAGCACATGCTAGAGTCAAGTCTGAGATCACCCCAAGCAAGGTTTCTTGGGAGACTCCCAAGTAGATGGCTAGACTCAAACCCTGGCAATAGGTAAACAAATTACAATGTACGTGATCCAACCTAGAAATGCAGATGTCAGGCCTGGGCCTCCTCAGTTGCTGATGCCTGTGCAGTGGACAGCATATCCAGATGCACAAGGGGACATGGCATTCAGGCCAGCAGAGGACATCAAGTCCTTGTCAGAGGATGGAGAGGAGAATAAGTTGGACCACTCTCCTGGCCAAGTTTTACAACATTTTCCAGGCTCACAGATGCACTAAAGTAGAACCTGGTCAGCCAGTAAACCATGGATTTTCTCAATCCTGGTGCAATGAGGTTGGCGATGTCTCAGAACTATCAAACCACTCCTGTAACATCCTTGGAACAATCTTCCCCACATCAGGTCTCTAAGATGTCACCAAATGATTGTCCCCATTCCCCAGGTGCTGATATGGTTTGACATCAAGGAGCTATGGACATAGGAAGAAAAAAAGTAAAACATTTGTCCCATCCATTTTCCTCCGCACCTCAACCTTTCCCTCCCTAATCGAAGGCCCACAACTATGGGCCCTCTCAACTATGTAAATGATATTAAAAATAAAACATTGTTTAAAGAAAAATAGTATCTGTGAAGGAATTTTTGCTTTTATTCCCTTTCTCATTTCTCTTTTTCATTCTTTCATGCTGAAGTCATAGTTTTATTTCTGCATGAAATATCAGGAATTGAGCATTATTTCCTCAAATAAGTTGAAGAGAGTTAATATTGGTCAAAGTGTACACATAAGTTTATAGATTACTATGCAGTGATGCCATGATTGTGCATCGTAAACAGGTTATTTATTTCTTTGTCTAGACAGTTCTACAGAAGAATGTTACAGATTTTGTGTTTCATTCAGTACTTGGGTCAAATTCCTTTCACTGTTACTTAATTGATACCCTCTCCTAGGCAAATGCATCTTAAAGGTATGTTGTTATTTGCTGTTAATATGTGTCTGTTCAGTTTCAAATGAGTTTTTGGCTTGTAAGGAATTCCGTTTCTTACACAGCACTGTGGAATACAATGGAAAGCCACCACCTGCAACGCTGGCATGCTATATGAATGATGGTTCATGTCTTGGCTGCCTCACTTCCAGTCCAGTTCCCTGCTAATGGCCTGGCAAAAGCCATGGAAGGTGGCCTAAGTGCTGGCCCCCTGCCACCCAAGTGGGAGACCAGATGAAGCTCCTGGCTCCTGGCTTTGGCTTGTTCCACCCTGGCCACTGCAGCTGTCTGGGGGAGTGAACTCAAATAGATAAACAAATGTTAGAGAGGGAGAGGGGAGAGACAGAGAGAGTAGACAGATTTTCTGTGAACATGGCCCATCTGAAAGTTTTACTTATTTGTTTGTTTAAAGGACAGAGTGACATAGACAGAGATAAAGATCCAGTTTCTGCTTCCATGACACAATGGAGAAGAACAAATTTCGTAGGGAGTAGGCATGCAGGTAAGGCAGCAGTATATACTGCACAAGTTTAACTCCTCTGCACTTGTTCCAAACTAAGGAAGCATCCCTAAGGCAATGCGAGGTGCAAGAAAAGAAAATAATCTTTTCTTGATGAAAAGCTGGTTAACTGAGTTCCTCATGTACTGGTGGTGGAAGCCTCACTTCGTGGGTTCTTCATGGACTACAACTCAACACTGTGTATCATGAGTGTTACAATATTTATACCCTTTGACCCAGTTCTTTCACTTTCAGGAACTTTTTCGTCTTCCAGCCTCCCTCCCCTTCCCCTTTTCCTCCTCACTTTTGCACCACCCCCACCCCATTCCTTTC